CCAAGCAATCAGAAAAGGCGTGTTTCACCAAGTACCACATATAACACAGAATAAGGAAATAATTGAAGCCCAAGAACGAAACGATACATACAAATATCTGGGTTTCTGTCAATCCTCCCACATCAATCATACCAAAACGAAAACACAGTTGAAAGATCAATACGTAGCGAGATTAAAATTAATATTGAAGACACAGTTAAATGGAAAAAATTTAATGAAAGCAGTAAATACATTCTGCGTTCCACTGCTAACATATTCTTTTGGAGTCATTAAATGGTCCAAAACTGATCTTGAAAATTTAAACATCGCAACAAGGAAAATCTTCACACAGTATAGAAGGCATCACCCAAAATCGTCGATTGAAAGATTCTCATTACCAAGACAGAATGGAGGAAGGGGTTTCCAGAACTTAGAAAACTTATATCAGAGACAAATTTCAGATTTGAAGAAGTATTTCTTGAAACGAGCGGAAAGAAATGAAATGTTTCACACCATCACAAGAGCAGATTTGAACCACACACCCTTAAATCTGTCGAACACCGAAGAAATCCACACCCCCCACACAATAGATAAAATAATAAGTGGGTTAAAACAAAAACAACTACATGGAAAATTCTACAAAGACTTAGAAGAAAATCATGTCAATAAGAAGATGTCATTGATTTGGTTAAAAAAATCAAGTTTGTATGCCGAAACAGAAGGATTTGTGTTTGCTATTCAAGACCAAGTAATCAATACCAAGAATTATAGAAAATACATCATCAAAGATCCGAACATAAAAAACGACTGCTGTCGTCTATGCAAAGCAAAACCTGAAACGATCCAGCACATAATCTCTTCTTGCAGCATCCTAGCACAAACTGATTACAAAGCTAGACATGACAACGCAGCCAAAATCATTCACAAAGAATTAGCAACACTTATGAACTTAATCGAAGATACGACACCCTATTACACTTACATTCCGTCTCCATTCCTTGAAAATAACAAATACAAATTATACTGGGATCGCACAATACTTACAGACTTAAACATTACAGCTAACAGACCAGACATCATACTTATCAAAAAACACACGAAGGAAGCCATTCTTATTGACATTGCTATTCCTAACACAAACAACATTATTCAAACATACGACACCAAGATTTCAAAATATCTACAATTATCGATAGAAATGAAATCCATGTTGAATCTTAAAAAAATTTCAATTCTACCCCTAGTTATCTCTAATGTAGGTGTAGTTCCAAATAGCTTAGTTGAGAATTTAAAGTCTTTGCATTTGAATGATTCAATAATTGTCAAAATTCAAAAAGCTGTTTTGTTAGGAACATGTCATATTGTTCGTAAGTTTCTTGAACAGTCTGATCATGTCAGTCAGATTAGATTAGCACCAGTAGGTCAGAGTAGTGTAGGTCACTTTTCATGTGATGCGCGGATAAATGGTCGGTAGTTACGCTGGACTTTTGGGGATGGGGTGAGATTAGAGAATAATAGCAGACTAATTTGTATGCTGTAATTCTAGAATCTCGAAAGTTGTTCTGTTAATCTAATCAATGCATATCATTACTTGGTCTTAGTACCCGTAATGATAGAAGTCTTGCCTGAATGCCAGTCATTTCCGGGTCAGTGGTGGGTCTTAATATCAATAATCAAATTAATCAAATTAATGTGATTAATGCATATTACTTGGTCTTAATAGTTAGTAATGATAGAAGTCTTGCCCGAATACCGGTCATTTCCGGGTCAGTGGTAGGTCATAATAATAATAATATTAATAATAACACCCATAACACATTTACTCAACAATGTTTTCACAAGTCAATTTTTTTTTAAACTAGCACTTTCTTGGAGGGGTTCGGGCGAATAGTTCTTGTGTTCCTTTCTAAACGTTTTAGGCCCATGAAATTTTTAATGTGTACTTTGGAACTTTCATGTAACTTTGCACACCAGATGAAATTATTTAAATCGTTATATCCCGGGATCTCGTACAAATATTACGGCAGAGCCATTTATATGTTTCGCACCAAGTTGATTTAAAAGACTTGGAGTACTGACGATTCTGTCGGTTATCAATGGAAGTTAATAAATGAATGAACGGTTTTGACTGCTCGATATTTAGCAAAATTTGCGGACGTTCTAGCTCGGTTCGCCGTGAAAACGGCGTTTCAAGAAGGAACATGACGATGTGGTACTCGGGATTCATTTTTCACTCACCTGTACCTATGAAAGAGACAAAAACACGAAACATCAACACGTGGGTTTTTATTCACATTCATGCAAATTACCCTCGCACCCCGCAACCCTTCTGTTCTGTAAAATAAATGGGAAAATGGTTTAATGAGTACGACGAAAATGGCCGAGAAGTACCGAAGATGTCGCCTCAGTTCCGAGCGAACGCATGTATAGGGGTATGGGAGCTGAGCCATGGAAATCCGTGTTCGCGAGTGGGCTTCGTTGGTTCAAGTGAACCGACGTTCTTGCCGCTTCAGTTAAAGAACTAGGAGCATAAATCGTACGGTATTCAACCGAAAATGTCAGCAGAAAGCGTAAAAAATAAAAAATCATCTACAGATTTGCAATTTCAACATATTTTTGTAACTAAAAATGCATTGAAAGCTCTTTTTTAATTACAAATTAACTCAATCTCTTCTTAAGATATATGCTGTGAGGCGCCGCCTCACTTGCCTCATCTGACGAGCCGCCACTGTGGCCGACTCCATTAATCTCTAAAGAGATATGGCCGTTCCATTCGGTATTTTTTGGCAAGTGCCGAATTTCTAAGGCTTTCACGTACAAGAAATGGTATACGATTTTTTTGTCATCAGCTGTTTAACAGTCTTCCACTAACTCTTAAAGACAAAAGTTACGCCAGTTTTAGATTTTGTGTAAAAACCTTATTAATTGAGAATGTTTTTTATTCATTAGAAGAATTTGTAAAATTTAATTTTCGCTAGTGTACCTACTTATATTTGACGTATGAAAAATTACTATGTAATTCTTGTCATGAATAAATTATTATTATTAAAGTATGCCATGAAGTGACCCTAAACTGTCGGACTCTGGTGGTCCTTACGCATATTAATTTTTAATTACAGATTTCTTTATTTACTGACATTGGTGTTTTATCCTAATTTGAGCGGAGGACTAAAACTTATCCAAATTCTCGTTTTGTAGGGGTTGTGAAACAAATATCGGACATTGCACTGAACATAATATTTCCTCACCTAGAGAAGAACCCTCTATTTAAATGTGAAAAACATAAACGTTTAGTTTGTAAATTTGTTGTAACAACTGTAAAACCTGTTTTGGTCAACATATGTCTTGAAACCACAGATTTAGTCAAGACAAAATTGTTGCAGCACAAACCAGTCAGAAGAAAGGTTCTAAAGTTGTAATTTTCTTTTTATTATTATTTAGTGCATAGGTATTCAGGTATATCTACTTACATTAATATGATTAGAATTTTCCATTGTTATTTTTATTTATTCCATTTGATTTAATAAAAGGAGTTCTGTTATAAACATTCCTTTGACTTTATTAAATTACAAATTGTCAAAATTTAATATGGCAACTCAATCGGGGTTGTATTTTTTGTAACATTTCCATTGTCAGATGGCACCACTTTAGAGAACTTTTCAATTGTTTGGAAAGCCAATTTATAAACGCCCATTGGAACGGCCATATCTCTTTAGAGATTAATGGAGTCGGCCATGTTAAGACAAAGAAGTGGCGACTTCTACCCTCTAAAATTCTAAGCTTATTTTAAAGAAATCTTTATAGTGTACGAATTGCTTGACAAGGACACTGGGGAAAGTAAGCACAGTTTATGTGAAAAAAAGATAATTTTTAAATAAAAAAAAAGAATGGAAAAAACATTTGTTCTAACTTTCTGAGTTTTTTGGCGACAAGTTGCGAAGTAAAACAGTAAAACACGTTTTTTTTTCTTTATAAGTTTAGAAAATGTTAATTGACCCATCTATAAAGACATACCCTTCTTGTAAAAGTTATACCAATTTTAATAAGAATAGTTAAAGCTGTCATTGGAAAAAGCAAAAATACTTCAATTTTATCTGTTAACATTCTGTTAATGGCCTATAGATCCAAGTTGTGACATGTTTTATAACATAACCTAACTTTAAGGTGGGAGGGAAATCATATCCACATATCATCATATATGTTATGTATATATTATGTATTACAAATAGACGATGACTTATTTATTAGGTATATGTTCTTAGAAAAAAACAAAAATTCATAAAACTTAGGCACGGGTATAGAAGAAATTTTAAAGTTGTTAAAAAAACAAAAAACCTATCCTGTTTAAAAACAAAAAAAAAACGTGTTTTAAAACCAATAAAACAAACGGAATTTTTTACACTCACATCACTAGCTTATGTTTTTTGCCATTATGGCGACCTGCATACTGGCAGTGACTATGTATTTAACATCTATACTCACTGATACTGGTGAACAAGTTGACAGGTTGACCATTTCGACATTGGTATCAAGCATACTTAAAAAAAAGTTACTATTCTCCTACTATCCTTGTCTCGCACATTGGTTAAGCTCCTCTTTTTCCACTTTCGGGCACAGGAATACTTGTAAAAATTTTATATTCTTATGAAATTTTAAATGCAAATTGCTACAGTTTAAACAACAATAGTTCAACCATAAGTGTAAAAATAGTATATTAGATATTAAGTACAATTTTTATGAAACACCGGTAAATCACAGGGTAGCCAAGGCGTAATACTAATTGCTTGTTATTACAACCCAATTCTAAAAATTAATAAAACACACTCTGAAATTTACGTGTACTTTTACTTTTTGTCAAGAAGTATAGAAAAGGTGGATAAACCGTTTTTTTCCAAGAAGTTGGACGGTGATAGACATTCTTTATGGTGTACTGAACTCTGGAACGACTGAGTGTAATAACATTTTTATTGAGCAACAATACCCAGGTCGACACAATTCAAAAAGAGGAACAAAAACACAAATTCTTCATTGTCACATTTACTTAAAACCAAGATACACATCATTTTTCATCATTTTCGTTGCCCGATTCTTCTTCGCTAACCTCTTCCGACTCCTCATCATCTTCATCGTCCTCATCATCGTCATCTTCGTCCGACTCTTCTGCTTCATAATACCCATAACCACCGCCTTCTTTATACGATTCGTCGTCATCATCGTAGTATGTAGCTTGTCCTTGCCTGCCAAACTTATGACTCCTCGCTAGAACAAACACAAGAATAATTTCCACCTTCCCTGTCCCTCAACTTCACGTCAACTCACTCGACATGCTCAGATCCTTCGTCTGCGACGTATCGTAGCCGCACTTCGGACACGGAATCGCTTTGTTCTTCTCGTACTTGAATCCTTTCCTCCTCACGTGGTCCTCGCAGTAGCAAGTCTTGCATCTCAGGCACGAATATTGTCCGAGCTTATTGCACGACTGACACTTGTAGTTCTCCGATTCGAGAACCTGACAGGACGCTTGGTGCTCGAACTGGTCGTCTTCGCATAGGAAGCTGTCGCAGAAGGAACACTTGAACAGGCGTCCGCCGTGGTCCCAGACTCCGCGTTGGCACTCGATGCAGACTGCGTCCTGCAGCGGACAAGTGCAGGCGTGGGTTTGGAGGCACTTGCGGCCGTGGCAGATCCAAGCTTCACAGAAGTCGCAGATGGCACCCTGGAAACATTATAGTGAAAAATATAGTTATTTCTTAATTAAGTTTATATAATCAACACCGCAGTTTGTTTAAAAATACGACGGCAGCGTTGACAGTGCAAATTTTAGTGTGAAATAAAATATATATGTAATTATCATAAGCATAGTAAATTTTTGATCAAAATGTATTTGCTCATCCACCCTAAAAAATTGATGACGTCACCCCAAAATTTTGCTAAAATGTAGAAAATATGATGAGTCTGTGGTTGTGATTTATCATTCCATTGATATTTTTTCCGATTTGCATATACATGGTGACTCAAAGATATTAATGAATGCGTGAATTTATTTTATTGATTTAATCAGGAACTACTAAACCGAATGATTTGAAATCTTGGAGATGTTTTAAATTTATCATCAGCATGGTAAATTTTTGATTAAAATGTATTTGCTCAACCCCCCTAAAAAATTGATGCTATCTTAAATGTGTAAAGAATGATGAGTCTATACTTGTGATTTATCACTGCATTAATATTTTTTGGATTTGCTTATACGGGGTGTATTAATGACTGAGTCAATTAATTTTATTGCTTAAATAAAGATTTGCAAAACTGAATAGTTTGAGATCTTGCAGACTTTCCTCCAAAAATTGTGACGTTGTCTCAAAATTTTGTCGAATAAATTCTACCCAAAATGTGCAAAATATGATGAGTTTTTACTTGTGATTCATCATAGGATTCATAGTTTTTATGGTTCAAATTAAGAACGAGTCAACCCATATTCCCGAAAATGTGGAAATACAAACGTCTTTATTTAATGAGAATTATAATAATGATGAACATTTTGTCAATTGTAGCTTACTAGTTAATTGTTTTGATCCTCCGTTTTGAGGGGACGAACTCATTCAAATCAAACTAATTTCGACGTGACATTCTTCCGATGTATAACATAGACACTTTCAAGTAGTTTTTCTTATCGAGGATAATCTAAGGACGTACAGTAATGGAGTTCATTGGGCAATTTGGTACTCGTTTATCGATATTTCATAAGGCCGTAGTTTGGGGGAGGCTAGGGGATGCTCCCGTAGATTTAGATAAGTTATAATTAACCAAATGTGAATTACAGCATCCAAAAACCAAATAAAATGTAGTGTTTTATTCAATAAGCGGAAGTCAGAGCAATAAAAAAGTCTGAACCGTCGGCATTGACATCCGGTTATTGCAATTCGTAGAAACCATGTTTTAGTTTAGTTTGTGTTTTACCGTCACGTCTACAGGTTGATAAGTGTTGTGGCTATTTGTTTTAAATTACAAGTACTATACAGGGTGGTCATTTTATCCGTTCACTTTATCTGTTCACACTTGACAATTTTTGCATAGGCAACATACGTATTATACACCCCAGAGGCGACGTCCAATTTATTTATTACTTCCCGAGCGTAAGCAAAGGAAGTATTGTAATCGAGTCCGTCGGCCGACTCTCTACTTTTACGTTTTCTCGATCTTTCATGACCCCTAGAAGACGAAGAAATAGGTCTTCCATTTCCGTCTGTCTGTCCGTCCGTCTATCCGTCTGTCCGTCTGCCGTCCCGGATTTTTATTAGGCAGATAATCTCCGAAAGTACTCGACCGATTGTTGTGAAATTTTGTACTTATATTAAGAATATCATGTAGATGGTAAAACGCTAACCAAAATTTGTCTAATCATCCCCACCACTAATGCGATGACGTCACTTCAAAATTGTACATAGTAAATGGGTTTTCAATTGTATAAAATAACATAGTCCTACACATGTAGTTTACAACTCTGAATCGACTTTTCACCCGAAACGTCCAGATTTTTGGAAAAAAAATCAAAATTATAAAACAACATTTTGAAATTTAATTTTTAATCTGCTAACCAGAATGCTTTGAAATGTTGCAGATGTTTTAAGGCTATAAAGAGCATTATAAATCTTTAGTCAAAAAATATTTGCTTATCCCCTCCAAAAACTTGATGACGTCAGCTCAAAAGTTTGTGGAATAAATCATATCTTAAATGTACAAAATATGATGAGTCTGTACTTGTGATCTATCACTCCATTCATATTTTTTGGATTTGCATATACAGGGTGACTCAAAAAAATTAATGAATGCGTAAATTTATTTTACTGATTTACTCAGAAACTACAAAACCGAATGCTTTGAAATCTTGCAGATGTTTTAAGGTTATAAAGAGCATAAAAAATGTTTAGTCTAAATGTATTTGCTTATCCCCTCCAAAAAATTGATGACGTCAGCTCGAAAGTTTGCCGAATAAATCCTATCTAAACTGTAAAAATATGATGAGTCTGTACTTGTAATTTATCACTCCATTCATATTTTTTGGATTTGCACATACAGGGTGACTCAAAAAAATTAATGAATGCGTAAACATATTTTGATTTAATCAGGAACTACAAAACCGAATGCTCTGAAATCTTGCAGATGTTTTAAGGTTATAAAGAGCATAATAAATTTTTAGTCAAAATATATTTGGTTATCTTCTACAAAAAACTGATGACGTCAGCTCAAAAGTTTGCCGAATAAATCATATCTAAAATGTATAAAATATGATGAGTCTGTACTTGTGATTTATCATTCCATTCATATTTTTGGATTTGCATATGCAGGGTGACAAAAAAATTAATGAAGGCGTGAATTTATTTTATCGATTTAATCAGGAATTACAAAACCGAATGCTTTGAAATCTTGGGAATATTTTAAAGTTATTATAAGCATGGTAAACTTTTGTTCAAAATGTATTTGTTCATCCCTCCTAAAAAAATTGATGATGTCACCCTTAAATTTTGCTGAATAAATCCTATCTAAAATGCAAAAAATATGATGAGTTTGTACTTGTGATTTATCATTCCATTCATATTTTTTAGATTTTCTTAAGAGGTGGTTCAAAAAAATTAATGAAGTCAATTTATTTTATTGATTAAATTAAAGGCAATACTTATTATTAGTATTACACCCCAACCAACCCAATTTGGTAGACACAAAATTTGTTAAAGGAAAAACTCGGTTGAAACATAAGTGTAGCACGCTTATTTACATCGACTTTAACATTACAGACCTGCATTTGTTTTATGCGCTCACTTGGTTCCGCGAATGTGAAATAGACATGTTTATAATCAACCAATTGTGAATTTCACCGTCAAGAATTAAAATAAAACCCAATGTTTTATATAATAAGCGGAAGTCGAAGCAATAAAACCGATGGTCGTTTTGTTTACAGTTTCTCTGTTTGACTCTCACGTATGCTGTTACGCCTGTCATCTTAAATTAAGAATGTTTATACATACACGATTTTCAGTTGCCTCTGATACGTATACGTGAGTAAATTGTTTAGTTATTTTATTGATTATTACAAATCAATATTCAAAACGACCCAATTCATTTTCCCGAAAATTTGAGAATATAATAATTTTATTCTTAGTATTACACTACATCTATCCCAATTGATATACGTGTCCTTGCAAAAATGTTGATGACGTCATCGCAATTTTTTTTTTAAATTCCCACTACAAAAATGTAATGAGAAAAAAAACACAATGGGCATGCAGTCGTCAAGTTTCCGACAGCGAGGGAAGTACTGTCTAAACTCTTTAGACCAATTTTTTTTTTTTAATAATCAATCATAACAATCACAGAAAAAAAATGACAAAGATGTCAGTGCCAAATAATGACAAAATTGACAGGGCCGTGTTTTGGAAAAACAAACAAAAACTGCATAACGACTCATGACTAGGAAACTGAAAATAATTGACATCGATGACAATCTGCAAAGACAAATTGCAAAATGTTGTTACAATTTTTTTTTTACATACTAATGTAAATTTGGAAGTTCACGTCATCCTACTGTTGGTGGGGATGATTAACCAAATTTTGGTTAGCGTTTTACTATCAACACATTATTTAATAAACATAAAATTTGAGAACAATCAGTCCAATGGTTTCAGAGATTATCTATCTAATACAAACTGACAAACGGGAGACCTATTTCTTCATACTCTAGAGGCCACGAAACATGAAATTAAGTCACCCGCTTACGGTTAGGTAGTAAAAGAATGAAAATAATTTACCAATTCTGTTAATAAAATGTTACGCAACGTTTAATTTCTTTTGTGGTATTATTTATAACGAGTTGGTTTGAGATACTTCGGGCATTTATAGTTATGATTTTCACTACACATTCACGACGATATGATAAACCGTTCGTATTGATTAGAAAAAGTGAGCATACATTAATTTCCGGACGCGTGCCGACCAATCACAACAAAACACATTCAAACTGACGCCAAGTTCAAATATTATTGATCGTGTGTATTCAAGTGTTCATTCCAATATCATAGATCTAGGGAAAACCATACGATTTGTTTTTATATTTATTGTGTGGGAGCATTTTTTTTTTATCGGCACCGATTTGTTAAATTTACAAATCCTCCAGTTCTCGATTTTACGATTTTTCAGTTATTCCATTTTTTACTTTGTTAGTTCGCCGATTTTACAGTTTTTTGAGTTCTAAACTTTTAGTTTTTTAATTTTTCAATTTCGTGTTTTTTTATTTTTCAGCAAAAGAACAAATTTATCCAATGTAAAATATTGGAAAATCGGAAAATTGTATCACTGAAACAATGAAGAACACAAAAATTTTAAAAAGAAAAATCCAAAACGCTCAAAATGAAAATCGAAAAACTAAAAAATTGAGACACCGAAAAATTGAAAATTTGGAAAAATGAAAAAATAAAAAATCCCGAAATTGAAACATCAACAAATCGAAAAACGAAACAATTTTGCAAGTTTTCAGTTTTAAAGTTTTCAAGTTCTTGATTCTCAATTTTAATCAAAATGAAATTTTGCAAAATCGAATAACTCTAACACCGAAACATTAAAAAATGCAAGAATTAAAAATCGAGAAATTGAAAAATCGACAAAACAAAACAATTCTACAATTTTTCGATATAAAATTTTTCAAATTCTCGATTTTTCGTTATT